CAGACCCCAGCAGGAGCCCATCCAGAAACGTCCCCAGAGCGTCGCAGGAAAGGCCGAAGTGAGCAGCTTCGCAGTGCCCTGAAAACAAAGCGCTGTCCCCAGCAGGCCTCAGAGCAGGGAGTTAATGGTTAACTCGGCGCTGGCCACCGGTTAGGAAGTGAGAGTGGCCTTGTCCCCAGGTCACCGCTGGTGGAGCATGACGCAGGCAGATGCACAGCCGGGCTGGTGTGCCACGCTGGTTTTCAGGCCACAGCTCCTGCAGGTTGTTTAGAGGGCTGTGTGTGGCCCGCGAGCGTTCCACCAGCCAGGAGGAGGGCGGCTCTGGCTCCCAAGCCAGACAGGCTCCTCACCACAGACAGACCATGGTGACTCAGCAAGCTCTGCCAATGGGACCAGTCCCACGGCCCCCTTCATGGGAAAGGGTGGGAAATGGAGAGCTACCTCCACAGGCAGGTGGGCAGACGGGTGAGGCAGAGGGGCTGCTCTTCCCTTTCCTCCCTCTTTTTCTGCGTCCCAAATGTTCCTGCAGCCTCAGCTGCCACCTGCATGGAGTAGGATCCCCCCCTCACACATTCGGAGCCCTGAGGAAGCCCTACCGTGGAGGCCAGTAGATGCTCACGCTCAGTGAGCAACTGGGTGCAGAGAGATGACCTTGCCCTGAAGACAACGGGCTTCTGTAGACAGAAGAAACAATTGCCCCAGTAGGTGACCTGGGGTGGTCCAATGCAGTCTCCACCAGGAAGGAAGGGGGTTATGGGCACAGATCCCTGGGAAGGGACCCAGTATTGCTGGTGAATCACCCATCTTGTTCCATCAAACCACGCTCCTAAAGTTGGTTCCTACGGAGTCTGGACCATTGCTAATAGCATGCCTGTGTGCCTGCACAGGATAATGCTGCGGGAAGAGCTCATTGTGGGCCATGAGTCAGGATTTAGACCCTCTGGCTACATTGTCACAGTTCATGGGTCATAAACAGCAGGAGAGGGATGCTGGGACTGAGTCACTGATTTCCTCTGTGGATGTCAGAGGCTGCTCAGAGGAGAACCTGATTTAGGAGGAAACACACACATCTTTGAATGAAGCAGAAAATTGAACTCAGCAATTAACTGCATGAATGAATTACTAGTGGTGTCCCTCAGAGGCTGATGATGTTTAATGTCTTTATTAAACGACAGAGATGATGGGATGGAGCACACTATCAGCAAGTTCATGGATGGTACTAGACTGGGAGGCGGGTGGAAGCATGGCTGATACACTGGAGGGCAGGGCTGCCAGTCAGAGGGACCTTGACAGGCTGGAGAAAGGGGTGGACAGCAGCCTCAGCAAAAAGAAGTCTGAGTGCTGCTCCTGTGGCACCAGGACAGGCCAAGGATGACGGCTAGAAAGCAGCTTCACAGAAAAGGATTTGGGGAGTCCTGAAGGACAAAAAGTTGAACAGAGGTCAGCAGTGTGTCCTTCTGGCTAAGAAGGTCAACCACAGACTGGGTTGTGTCAGCCAGTGTTCAGCCAGCAGATCAAGGGAGGTGATTCTTCCTCTCTGTTTCGGTCTTGTGAGGCCACATCTAGAGCGCAGTGTCTAGTCTGGGACTGCCTGGTACAAGAAAAATGCAGATGTACCGGCCTGAGTCCAGCAGAGGCCACCAATATGGCCACTGGCTGGAGCAGTGGGCATACAAGGAGACATTGAAGGAACTGGGTTTACTCAGCCTGAAGAAGAGACAGTAAAGTTCTTTTGCTGCCTGCAGCTACCAAACAGGAAGGTGTAGAGAAGAGAGAGTCAGGCTTTCCTCCGAGGCACACAGTGAAAGAAGCAAAAGATCCAAGTTGCAAGAAGAAAAATTCCAAGTAGTTATTAGGACTTTTTTTTTTTCCCCCCCTCGCCGTGAGAGTGGTCAAACAGGGTCCCAGAGAGGCTGTGGAACCTCCATCTGTGGAGGTACTCACACCTTTACCAGAGGTGGCCCTGGAACTCTCCAATAACTCCCCCAGCTGACATGATTTACTGCAAGAGATGAAAGACGCTCAATCTAATCAGCTTAATAAGAAGAAGGAGATGTAAAGCAACATCTACAAACAAATATGTTGAGAGAAAGTATCCACAAGAAGTCTTCTAGCAGAAGGCCCTTTAACTTCTTGGCATAGTCAGAACTAACCCCAGTGCTTGGAAACAGAACCTAAACAAATTAGTATTACAAATAAAGTGCACATTTATAAGACTGAGGGGAATCAGCCAATATAAAATGTTTTGTTGGATGTAGTGGCCGCTTTAAGCTGGTCATACGCTTTGAGTGAGGGCTTAGACCAGAGACCTCCAAGCATACTTCCAACCTAAATTGCTCTGGCTGTTCATGACTGTTCCAGTCTGTCACTGATATCAAAGTATCAGAAGGAATGGTGCAGGATTCAAAGACTGGGACTATTAATGCTAATTAATATTGTTGGGGGATGTTTAAACAGGACTTGTTAAATAAATCTGATAAGGCAATAACTTGCTCAGCTTGTAAAAGTACTGAACAATCTGACATGGATGTATGGACTTCAGACTTCTCTCTCTCTCTTTTTTGAAAGGGAGCAGTTCTCATCCTAGCTCTATTTTATATTTTTAGCAAAAAATAGGAAGAAAAGATGATGATAATTTTCACAAACAGCAAAAAAACTGTGGCAGTGGCAAATGTAATAAGGACAGTTCAGTTAAACGGAGCCATCTGAGTCACTGATAAAGTGAGATCAAAGACTCTGAAGGGCAGTATCCTGGAAACACTGAAAAGGCTGAAATGGTCACAGCAGAAATCTTATCTACAGAAGCAGCTGATGTACTGCTGCAGCTCAGAGGCAGAAACTCATGGCTGGATCAGCAGGGAAGGATGGCAGTAAGAG